ATTCATTTTACACATACAAAAATAGAAAAGTCTAGTACAAGCCTAACAGCCTTCAGAGTGGTGCTCTTGACCTAGAGTTTTGATTTACTTGGATATTCTGCCACTTAGTGACAGATCTGGTGCCTAACCTTGACCAAAAGGCTAGAACATTGATACATCTGCCTTGAATAAGATTTTCTTTTCTTTTTATAAGAATGCAACAACAACCAAAATCACTCATCAAGTCTTTATTTAGTTATTTTGTTAATTTTTACCCAAGGATATTTTTCCATTGAATTTTTTTTTAGATAGAGTAGGAGAGAGGGAGAAAGAGAGAGAGAGACATCAGTGTGAGAGAGACACATTGATTGGTTGCCTCCTGCATGACCCTTGACTGGGGCCGGGGATGGAACCTGCAACCCAGGTACATGCCCTTGACCTGGAATTGAACCTGAGACCCTTCCGTCTGAGGCTCTAAGCCAATTTGGCCAGGGTTTGAATAAGCTTTTCAACACCCCCTCCCCCCCCCATCAAAGTCAACTTGGAATGTTAAATCCATTCCATAAGACAATCAGGGCTGGTATGGTGCTCCAAAGTGAAAGGGACTTAGAGTCTTTCTATTGTTGCTTTGCCATACCTACAGTGTTGCCTTTATTTGCTTGGTCCAATTTTGCTCATGACCATATCCACACCCAGCAAGTGAAAAGAGAACAAATTCTTTCTCTTTAAGAATGACCTGGGTCCAGCCAGTGTGGCTCAGTGGTTGAGCATCGACCCATGCTCCAAGAGGTTGCCTGTTCGATTCCCGGTCAGGACACATGCTCAGGTTGTGGACCAGATCCCCAGTGGGGGGCATGCAGCTAATTGATGTTCTCTCTCATCGATGTTTCTATCTCTCTCTCCCTCTCACTTCCTCTCTCTCTAAAATCAATAAAGAAAAAAAATAATTAAAAAAAAGAAAAAGAAAAAGAATGACCTGCAAGTTGCACACATCACTTACACATTTCATTGGCCAGACATGCTCTTATTTAGCTCTAAGGGAGTCTAGGAAGATGTAGTTTTGTCTTGTTTTGTTTTGTTTTTTATCCTCATCCGAGGACATTTTTTTTTTTCCATTTTTTTTTTTTGTACAGACAGAGTGGGAGGGAGAGAGAGGAAGAGAGAGAGAGGGAAACATCGATGTGAAAGGGCCACATTGAGTGGCTGCCACCCGCACGACCAGCCAGGGCCGGGGACAAACTGCAACCGAGGTACATGCCCTTAGCGGGAACCGAACCCGGGTCTCTCCGGACCGCAGGCGGACGCTCTAACCGCTGAGCCAAAGCCAGGGCGGAAGATGTAGTTTTTATTGCTGATTGGTCATGCACTTTGTTTAAAAAAAAAATGGGGTGGTTTTATTTTATCAAAAGGGTAGAACCAATATTGGGGGATAAGTAACAGTGACAAAATTGGTTTAGGCCAGACTGCAACCTTTCTCGGCAGAATTTACCCAGTTGATCACTTCCTCCTCCCCACTTCCCTTTGAGGTTCATCATTCTAACAACCAATTTGTACTTCTTAATCCTTTCGTTCTTTTCACACTTCCTCCCAAACCCCCTCCTATCTGACAACTAACAAAAGGTTCTCTGTATCTATGAGTTTGTTTCTGTTCTGCTTGCTCATTTTATTTGTAGATTCAATTGTTGATAGATATGTATTTATTGTCATTTTATTGTTCATATTTTCTTCTTCCTCTTCTCCTTCTCCTTCTTTCTCCTTCTTCTAGAAAACCCCTCAACATTTCATATAATATGGTTTGGTGGTGATGAACTCCTTTAGCTTTTTCTTGTCTGGGAAATTATTGATATGTCCATTGATTCTAAATGATAGCTTTGTAGGATAGAGTAATCTTGGTTGTAGGTCCTTGCTTTTCATCCCTTTGAATATCTCTTGCCACTCCCTTCTGGCCTGCAAGGTTTCTTTTGAGAAATCAACTGACAGCCTTATGGGAGCTCCTTTGTAGGTAACTATCTGCTTTTTTCTTGCTGCTTTTAAGATTCTCTCTTTGTCTTTAACCTTTTGCATGTTGATGATGATTTGTCTTGGTGTGGATCTCTTTGGGTTCATCTGTTTAAGACACTCGGTGCTTCCTGGACTTGTATATCTGTTTCCTTCACCAAGTTAGGAAAGTTTTGTGTCATTGTTTTTTCAAATAGGTTTTCAATTTCTTGCCCTCTCTCTTCTCTTGGCACTCCCATGATAGGAATGTTGGTACGCTCGAAGTTGTCCCACAGGCTCCTTATGCTATCCTCACTTTTTTGGACTCTTTTTTTTTTCTTTTTGCTGTTCTGTTTGGGTATTGTTTCCTTATAGTCCAAATTAATGGTTGGCTTCTTAGCTTCACCTGCTCTACTATTGAGTCCCTATAAATTATTATTTATTTCAGTTAGTGAATCCTTCATTTCTGACTGGTCCATTATTATGCTCTTGAGGTCCTCACTAAGTTCACTGAGTGTCCTTGTAAGCAGTGTTTTGAACTCTGTGTTTGTTAGATTGCTTATTTCCATTTCATTTAGTTCTTTTCATGGAGTTTTGTTCTGTTCTTTCATTTGGGACATGTTTCTTTGTCTCCTCATTTTGGCTGCCTCCCTGTGTTTGTTTCTATGTATTATGTAGAGTTTCTATGTGTCCTAATCTTCTTAGGGTGGCCTGTTATAGTAGGTATTCTGTAGGGTCCAGTGGCACAGCCTCCCTAGTCACCCACTGGACCCTCCAGGTGCACCCCTCGTGTGGACTTTACACCCTTCAGTTGTAATTGAGTCTTGATTACTGTTGGCACATCAGTGAGAGGGGTTTACTCAGTTGAATCAGCTGCAAGGACTGGCTGTGCTCACGAACCACTGACTTCTGACTACCTTGGATGATTAGCTGTGTAGGGGCCCACTATACAGAGCAAGACTTACTTCAGCAGGACTCTAGTACCCACTGAGTCCACTTATTGAGTGTGTCACTTGTGGAGGTGGTTGGGTGGTGGTGCTTCGATGTAGTCTGAAGCTGTCCACTGGGTGTGCTGGCTCTGGGGCAAGGTCAGCCTCTGTCTGTGGTCTACCCAGGGCCACCTGACATATGCTACAAAGTGATCTGCAGATGGCTGCTTCTTGTGCTGGGCTTGGAGGTGCCCAAGCAAAGCCAAGTTGTGAACCAAGTCTGGCTGCTTCTAGTGCCAGGCCTGGGGCCCCTTAGTGAGAGGTATGGGGCTCACTGTGGCCAGAGATGCTGCTTGTTTGAGAGAATTTAGGAAAATCTGAAGCAGGAGCTAAAACAGGCCAATCCTATGGTAAAGCCACTGGAAACAGCTTGGGTGGGCCCAAAAGTTGTGTTGGACAGGGCCTCAGGGAATCACCAGGGCGGGGCAAACAATGTGACCCAGGTTGCTGGAGTCCCAGATATGACACCTGTCTGATGGGCTTGTGGGGGAAGGGCTCATCAATGGAACAAAGGCCTCCACCAGGACGTCTGTCTGGGAGAACGCTGCGTCTCCAGTCTTAGCCTGATGCCAAACAACTCAGTTTTTCCCCATATGTCTCTGGTGCCTTTCAAGTTGCCTCCCCTCCACGATGGAGCTCAGAGGGAGGGAGTCCCAGTAAGTCCATGCATGGACCCTTTAAGAGGAACAGCCTGGGACTCTAGAAGCCTCAGCCTCCTTCGGCCTCAGTCCCCCTCAGCCTCAGTCCCCACTGTTTTCTACAGCCAGAAGTTATGGGGTATTTTCTTCCTAGCACTGGAACCCTGAGCTGGGCGCCTGGTGTGGACAGGGCCCCCTTGCTCCTTAGGGAGAACCTTCCCAGCCAAGGTATCCCTCCTGATTTTTATCCACCCTGGGTGGGTGTGGCACCTGCCAGTCTGTGCCTCTGCCCCTCCTACCAGTCTCGGTGTGGCTTCTTGTTTAATTTCTTAGTTGTAAGACTTCCGTTCAGCTTGATTTTAGGTGGTTTTGAAGGATGGTTGTTCTGTAGTTTAGTTGTAATTTTCTATTTTTAGAGAGAGGAAGTGGGGGGAGGAGCGAGAGACCTTCATAGGCTGCGCCTTGCACACCTCCCTGGGCGGGGAAATGGAGCCGCAACCCAGGCCTGTGACCTGAGCCCTGACCTGGAATCCAACCAACTGAGTCACACTGGCTAGGGCACAGTATTTTTTATTATTTCATTGTTTATTTACACCACAACTTATTTACCTGTTCTTTTTTGTAATTCGCAATTTTCTTTTTTGGTGGACATTTAGTTAATTCTCAGTTTTTTGCATTTATATACCATGTTGCTATGAATATTATTTTTGTTGTTGTTGTTGTTAATCCTCACCCAAGGACATTTTTCTATTGATTTTTTGAGAGTGGAAGGGAGAGAGACACATGGATTGGTTTCTTCCCGCATGACCCCTACCAGGGTCAGAGATCAAACCTGCAATCCTTGACCAGAAATCCAACCGGAGACCCTTGGGTTGCAAGAACAACGCTCTAATCGCTGAGGCAACCTTACCACGGAACTATGAGTATTCTTGAACATGCTTGTGCACAGATGTGAACATTTCCCTAGAATATATTAGGAGCGAACTTAGGGCCATCTGCTATATACGTTTTAAACTCTAGCAAATGTTACCAAGTTGCTTTCTAAAATGACTGTTACTGCCCTGGCCGGGCAGCTCACGGTTACAAGCAAGGTCTGCCACACCAAGGTTGCCAGGTTTAATACCCGGCAGGGCACATAAAAGAAGCAACCAGTGGATACATAAATAAGTGAAACAACAAATGATGTTTCTCTCTCTCCTTAGAAAACCAAGAAAGCCAAAACACTTAAAAATAAATATTTACCCTAACATTCTTCACCATCCTGGTGGACACCGTCACCCCATTCCTTGGGGGCCGGGGTGGGCAGTAGTGTCCGGACAGTTCGGCATCAAAACGCGGCGACAGCGCCGGCGCCAGCTTCTGCGTTCCCCAAGCCACGCCCACTGGGCGCAGGGGCTGCCGGGACAGTCCCCATCTTCTTTGCGCGCGCGTTAGAAGAGGCGACGCCGCTGTGGCGCGGCGCTCTTAGTGATCCTGTGGCCCGGCTCCGTGGGACCTGGACCTTAAAGGTGAGCAACTCCGAGGGCTAATGAGACGAAGGTACTAAAGGGCCTGCTTTGCGTGGTGCACAACGGCGCATTTCCTTTCTTTGCTACCTCATGCTGGGCGCGTCCGCTCCTCTTCCTCAGGTTTGAGTCCTGGGCCGCGTGGGCCGCGGCCGTAGGCGGCGTACTGGTCCGGGAGGAGGGGGGAGGAAGAGGAGGAGGGAGGGAGGGGAGGGGAGGGGCCCCTGGGAGGAATGCTGGAACCTAGGCTTCTGCGCACGTGGCAGGACCCAAGTAAGCCAATGGTTGCTTTGGGATGGGTCCCTGGAGGCGTCTTTGGACAGGAGCTGCCGCATACCGCCTGCGTCTTTGAAGTTTCCCACCTTCACCGTCTTACAGTGTCGCCAAAGGCGGACGTTTGGGGCCACCTGTGTACGTTTCCGGGAGGGTGGCGCGGCGGAACTCCGGAGGGTTCCTTGGATCCTTGGGACGGAGTGGAGGCCCGGCATTCGGGGCTGTGCGTGTTCTCCTGGCGTAACTCACTGGGGTTTGGGGTCTTCATTCCCTCGCTCGCATCAAGGCGTCTGAGTGAAATATTAACGATGGCTAATACTTCACATCTAGTTGTACATTCCGGGAAAGAATATGATGAAATGAAGTTCCAGAATTGGGTAGGCCAAGAAGTCTTGTAGGGACTAATCAAGTTCTTTTATCTCACCCTTTGTTTTATAAGTGGCTTAATAAGTTAGGAATGTACATAGTGGTCGACAAACCAATGCATAAGATTGAACAAAGTTTGTAGTAAGATGTGAACCATTGCAAGAGCTCCCACTGTGCATGTGCATCCAGCTTAGTTCAAAATAATTACAGTGTATTAGCAGCACCTCCAAGAAGTGTACCAACATAGTCACCTAATGACAGATATCCTTGATGAGTTCCTGTATATTTGGTACAATGTGGATGGCTGCATGGTTTAATTGAGCACTGGAGGAAAGTAATTTGAAGTGAGGAGACTTGGTTTCTTGTCCCTAGCAACCCAGCCTCACGTTTTTCCTGCACTGCTAACCAGGAAGCTGGTTGGCCAGTGTATTGGTGAATGAGCAGGCACACTCCCAGGTTATCATTGCTTTTAGTGTCTCCGGGCTCTCAAATTGTCGTTTCCATATGCTCCTTAATATGCAGCATCTCACTGGACTCTGGCGATAATATGTGAATTTTTTTCACCTTAAAGTTAGCATATTTAATCTTTGTTAATAAAGATTATAGTAAGTCAGCTGTGATTAATTTTAAAAGGAATTTGACCCACACCAAGCAAGTGGGACTGAGATCCATAATGAACATAACCGCTTGCTTTGTTATAAAAGATGAAACAGCGATTTACTGAAAGGGATGTGTATTATTAATAGCTTTTCAATTTTCTATCACTTATTCCAAAGTTTTCTTTTGTTGAAATTTGAGAATTAAGTAGAGAAATTGAACCTGTGAAATTAAATATTCTTTATTTGTTTTTTTGTTTTTAAAGAAAACAGTGGGACATTGATACTTTTAAAATTTTCTTTTTCTGGTCTTCAGTTTTATGTAAAAAAAAAAAAAATGCTAATTTGGAAAAATTTACAGATAGCCACAATGGCCGAAAATGGTGATGAAGAAATGGCTGCTCTGGAGGCCAAAATCTGTCATCAAATTGAGGTATGATCCTTGTACTATTTGACTGTGACAACAAACTTTGAAAAGAAATTTAGAGCCTCAAAACAAATACAGAAATAACATTTAATTCCAGTACATATATTGACCTATTCAACATTTGGCTTGTCTTTGATTCTTGGATTTAGTTGTACATATGGTATATCATTTTATTTATTTTTAATTTTTTATTGATTTTCTTTTTTTTCTTTTTTTCTTTTTTTTTAGAGAGAGTAAGGGAGAGAGAGAGAAACATTGATGTAAGAGAGAAACATCCATCGACTGTCTCCTGCACACCTTCCACTGGGATCGAGCTCACAGCCTGGGCATACGCCCTGACCAGGAATAGCACTGGACCTCTCAGTCCATGGGATGACGCTCAATTCACTGAGCCACACTGGCTGGGCAGTTTTATATTGGTGGAGCCAGTTTATGAAACCCAAAAACTACAGATATTTTAAAAGATTACACTGTAGATTAATGTTACTTAACTTTTTTTCTTTAGTTTCCTAGTCTATAAATTGAGTATAATAGCAGTACCTTCCTCATAAGGTGATTGTGAGGATTACATTTAATAAAATATAAAAGATACAGTGGAGTACCTGGCACTTAATGAGATACCATAATTCTTTGTAAAGTACCTTCCCTGTTAAATAACACTTTATGTTTTCGAAGATCTTAGTTTTTTTCTGCCCACATAGTTCTCAGCTGTTGTAACTTTTAACAGAGTAACTGTTTATAAAGTCCTCTTAGCAGTTTTTTGAACTTAAGTCTTGTATTTACAGGTTGAAGCTTTATAATAATGACTGCTGTGGGAAATTATGTCCTTTATTTATTTATTTATTTTTTATCCTCACCCGAGGACATTTTTCCACTTTTTGTACAGACAGAGTGGGAGGGAGAGAGAGGAAGAGAGAGAGGGAAACATCGATGTGAAAGGGACACATCGAGTGGCTGCCACCCGCACGACCAACCAGGGCCGGGGACAAACTGCAACTGAGGTACATGCCCTTAGCGGACACCGAACCCGGGTCTCTCGGGACCGCAGGCGGACGCTCTAACTGCTGAGCCAAACCGGCCAGGGCTTATGTCCTTTTTTTATTGTTGAAAGTATTACAGATGTCCCAGGAAATTATTTCTTAATTTATATTTAATGTTCTTACTAAAAAATATCTTATTTGGTGTGTTTTTGGGAATTCTAAGAACTTTTTTTTTTAAGTTGTATTTCTCAGCCATTTTAAATTTTCTATGCTGCAGTTTTTTTTTGTTGCTAATTTCTTTATAATTATGAAGAAAAATTACAAATTATTCTGTTTAATATTTAGAATAATACAAAGATGTATGTAGAAAAAGTTAATGACCTCTTGGTGCATTGTTGACATTCAACCAGTGAGCTACAATGGCCCAGCTTTATAAATAAATCTTAGTAATCGTATTTACTGATTTAAGATAAAATTCCTAGCCCTGGCCAGTTTGGCTCAGCCGTTAGAGTGTAGGCCCACTGACCAAGGAGTCTCGGGTTCTATTCTGGTCAAAGGCACATACCTTGGTTTCGGTTCAGTCCCCGGCCCTGGTTGGAGTCATGCAGGAGGCAGGCAACCAATTGATGATGTGTCTCTCTCAAATAAATGTGTATCTCTCTCCCTCTCTCGCCCTTTCTTCCTCCTTCTCCCTCTCCCTCCCTCTCACTCTATTTGAAGATAAGTGGAAAAATATCTCAGGTGAGGATTTAAAAAAAAAAAGATAGTAAGATAAAATTTCTCCTGGAATGAGATCTGCTGGCTCAAGGGTTATGCACATTTTTAAAAAACTTTGAATACTTATAGCCAGTTTACATCTCTTCCTGCATGACCATTTCTCTGTGTTCAGGCCAATATGGTATATGCTGGTTTTTAGAATTTTGGCCAATTTGTCAGGTGAAAAATGCTATTTTATTAATTTAAATTTCTTTGATTAATAATGAGGTTGAACTTATGTTTATAGTACATGTTTAGTTTTAGTAATTTTTTAATGTCTTTTATTCATTTTTCTGGGTTTTTTTTCTTCCCCTTTGATTTTTAAGAACAATTAACAAATTTCTGTGTTTGTCATACTTTTTGGCATTCCAAGTAGTCACACTTGGGCCTTCTCATGTATAGTTTTTTCTTTGTTTTTATACTGAGAAAGAGTGTCTCTATGTTTAAATTAGATATGCACTTCTAACTTTAAAAAATTAGAGTGACTAACTAGTTTATTCCAGTTTTTAAATTCTTTCCACACTGATTTGAAGCAAGTGGTTTTTTTATATACTAAATTCTTTTTTTTTTTTTCTTAATTAATTTTTAGGGAGAGAAGGATAGAAACATCGATGAGAGAGAGCATCAACTGGCTGCCTCCTGCATGCCCCCTCTGGGGATCGGGCCCACATCCTAGGCATGTGCCTGACTGGGAATCGCACTAGCAACCTCTTGGTGCGTGGGTCAATGCTCAACCACTGAGCCACACCAGCTGGGCTATATACTAAATTCTTATATATGTTTTTATTTGTTGTTGACATATCTGTTAATTACATTGTTTAAATAATCAGTTTTAGTTTTACCTTTTAATTCTGCATTATAAACATTTAATTATAGTATATTTAGGAGAAAATATTTCTCATCACTTAAACTATGACATGTATGTTTTTAAAGGTTTTTATTGACTTTAGAGAGAGGAAGGATGAGGTAGGGAGAGACAGAGACGCATCAATGTGAGAGAGAAACATTGATCACCTGCCTCCTGCACAAGACTCCCCTACCCTAACCCACCTGGGGATTGAGCCCACAACCCAGACACGTTCCCTGACTGGGAATCAAACTGGTGACCTTTTGGTGCTTGAGATGATGCTTAACTGAGTCACACTGACCAGGGCATGACATGTATTTTTAAAGAGTAGAACCTAGTGATGTAATGGTAATTTAAAAAAAAAAAAACCCTCCAGCCCTGGCCAGTTTGGCTCAGTGGTTAGAACGTTGGCCCGTGGACCAGAGAGTCCTGGGTTCGGTTCCCACTAGTGGCATGGAACTCGGTTGCAGTTTGTCCCCGGCTGCTGTTGGGGTCATGTGGGTGGCAGCCACTCGATGTGTCTCTCTCACATCGATGTTTCTCTTTCTCTCTTTCTCCCCCTCTCCCTCCCACTGTCTCTGAAGATTAATGCAAAAATGTCCTCAGGTGAGGATTAAAAAAAAAACCCTCCAGAGTTGGAGTCAGTATTATACAATGATCTGAAATATATTGTAATTATCTTGCAGTATTATTTTGGTGACTTCAATTTGCCACGAGACAAATTTTTAAAGGAACAAATCAAACTGGATGAAGGCTGGGTACCTTTGGAAATAATGATAAAATTCAATAGGTAAAAAACCTTTTAAAAACCATCTTTAGATTTTCTGTTAAGTGCTAATACTAAGTCTTACAGTGCTTTTATACATGTTCTTCAGGTTAAACCGTCTAACAACAGATTTTAATGTAATAGTAGAAGCATTGAGCAAGTCAAAGGCAGAACTCATGGAAATAAGTGAAGATAAAACCAAAATCAGAAGATCTCCAAACAAACCCCTCCCTGAAGTGACTGATGAGTATAAAAATGATGTAAAAAACAGATCTGTTTATATCGTAAGTGGGCCTTTAATGCACTTAATTGTATCTTATATTTACTTAGAAAGAACTGATAGTAGAGTTGGTAAGAATAGGGGCTCAGCAATCATGACTTTACTACTTTCTATATGTCTCTCACCACTTACTGTGTATTCTTAACCTCATACATGAGGGTAATATTTTTATGTTATTGAACTGTTGTGGGAATTAAATGACAAACCTATATATAGCATCGGACAAAATCTTTAGCATTTTGTAAGCACCAAGTGCGTATCATCTGTTCTTATTTATTATCTAAACTTTCAACATATCTTTAAAAAAAAATTTTTTTTTTATTGATTTTAGGGAGAGAGAAACATCGATGAGAGAGAACATCAATTGGCCTCCTCCTGTGTGCCCCCCACTGGGGACCCGGCCCACAACCTGGGCATGTGCCCTGACCGGGAATCCAACTGGTGACCTATTGGTGCATGGGTCAACACTCAACTACTGAGCCACATTAGCCGGGCTAAACTTTTAGCATATTTTTAAGTAGTTATTTTATTCTGGAAAATTTCAGACATACAAAAGTAAATTGGGTATATTAATGTACCATTATCCAACTTCAACAGTCATTAATGCGTGATTAATTTTGTTTTACCTTGCCCCAACTGAATTGAATCCAAGATAAAAGAGTGACTTTTATTGCCCTGGCCTGTTTGACTCAGCGGTTAGAGTGTTGGCCTGGGGTCCAGAGAGACCTGGGTTCAGTTCCCTCTAAGGGCATGTACCTCGGTTGCAGTTTGTCCCCGGCCCTGGTTGGGTCACGCGGGTGGCAACCACTCAATGTGTCCCTTTCACGTTAATGTTTCTCTCTCTCTCTCTCTCTCTTCCTCTCTCCCCTGCCCACTCTATATGAACAAAAAATGAAAAAATGTCCTCAGGTGAGGATAAAATAAAAAGTCGCTTTTATTGCACTGGATAGTAATGACTATTAACTAGACCTATTAAACATTTGAAAGGGAGGGAGGGATATCCTGGCTTCATTTCAAGACAAAAGGATTCAGAATTTCTGGCTGATTGTTTACCTGAGAAGTCATTTGTACATTTCTTCCTATTCACAGAAAGGCTTCCCTACTGATGCAACCCTTGATGACATAAAAGAATGGTTAGAAGATAAAGGTCAAGTACTGAATATTCAGATGAGAAGAACATTGCACAAAGCATTTAAGGTAAGGTTGGTATGATGTAACAGACTTTCTAGATGAAAAATATATGAGACATAACTTTAAAAAAATATTTCTTCCCCTTTTAAAAGGGATCAATATTTGCTGTGTTTGATAGCATTGAATCTGCTAAAAAGTTTGTGGAGACCCCAGGACAAAAGTACAAAGACACAGATCTGCTGATACTTTTCAAGTAAGTCTTTTTGCTGATTTTTCTTCTGACCACTTAGTTATATGGAATTGACACCCCTGGGGTAAGGAGTGGGGAGTAGCATCCTCTATAAGGCCAGTAGTTTTGGTATCCATAGGCATCCTTTGAGAAATGCTTGAAATTTGTTTGGTGGAAATGATTAGTTCTTTGAGAATATATAGAAGTGTTTATTAGTACCTATTTTCTATCAGTAATTAATAAAGGAGGTTAGGTTTTAGTACTTATTTTGCATCTAAAACTTAAAATCAGGCTGAATACTAAAATTTGGGCTTACTGTGTTAGAGAATAAATCACTGTACAATTTTTTTTTTTTAATCCTCACCAGAGGACATTTTTTGCATTTGTCTTCAGAGAGAGCGGAGGGAGAAAGGGAGGAAGAGAGAGAGAGAAACATCGATGTGAGAGACACATTAACTGGTTGCCACCTACAAGACCCCAACCAGGGCTGGGGACAAACCGCAACCGAGGTACGTCCGCTTAGTGGGAACCGAACCTGGGTCTCTCTGGACCGTAGGCCAATGCTCTAACTGTTGAGCCAAATGGCCAGGGCCACTGTACAATTTTTATCTGTTCTTCCCATAGTCTATATATTATATAACTTATATTTTTATATAGTACAAAGGATTATAGAGAAGAGATTTGGATCACATTCTTTAATATGTGCATCTAGAAACTAGGACAAACCAGAGCATTTTCATGATAAAGTTAGATGTGGGACCATAGTCTCCTATTTTCACATTACATGGTATTCTAAATATGCTGTATACTAAACCGGGTGTACTTAGAGATGTACTATGATGAATCATGCTCAGTGTTAAACCCTCAAAAGTATTTTTTTCTTTTTTAATCTCCACCTGAGGATATGTTTTTATTGATTTTTGAGAGAGGAAGAGAAGCACCGATGTGAGAGAGAACATTGATCAGTTGCCTCCTGTATGCGCCCTGACCAGGGATCAAATCTGCAGCTTAAGTATGTGCTCTTACAGGAATCGAACCCCAAACCTTTCGATGTTCAGGGCGACACCCCAATTGAGCCACCTGGCCAGGGCCCCTCAAAAAGAGTATTTAAAAAAATTTTTTTTTTTTTTTTTTAATTTTTAGAGAGAGGATGAGAGAGAGAGAGAGAGAGTAACATCGATTAGCTGCCTCCTGCATGCCCCCCCACTAGGGATCAAGCCCACAACCTGGGTATGTGCCCTCACCGGGAATCGAACCAGCAACCTTTCAGTGCACAGGACAGCACCCAACTGAGCCACAACAGCCAGGGCTCAAATGTATTTTTAAATGTGATGTTACAGTTGTTCTTAAGCTTGGGTTTCAGGGAGGGATTTTAGAATTTTTTTCCTTTTTGTGAAAACTCTGAAACTTTAAAATATTTTACATAATTTCTGGTTTACTTTTTTTTTTTTTTTTTAATACATGAATGATAAATGAAAACCAGTATGAGACTGTTAATGGATAAGGGTTTTCTTTTTGGGGTCATGAAAATGTTCTGAAATTAAATAATAGTGGTAATTGTATAATCTGAATATATTAAAAGGCATTGAATTATACACTTTAAAACAGTGAATTTTATGGCATGTGAATTACTTCTTAGTAAAGCTGTTACTTAAAAAAAACAGAAGAGTAACTTCCTTGACATCTTTTGAATTTTTAGGTAATTATGTTGATAGAAAAAATAACATTCGTTATGCCATGTCTTAAATCATTCAAAATAATTTTAAATCTTTGTTCTCATGAATTTAGCCTCTATATTTTGTGTCCTTTAGGGAAGATTACTTTGCAAAAAAAAATGAAGAAAGAAAGCAAAATAAAGTGGAAGCTAAACTACGAGCAAAAAAGTAAGTAAATAGAGCTAATAGAACATTTTAATTCCTTAAATCTTTGACAAAGGTATATAGATAGTGGTTCTGGGAAATGAGCTGATGATGAGCTCTGAAATGAGTAGCAATATGCCTTTCTTTTGGTCATGGAACATTGATGTCTTCTTTTTTTAAATCCTCACCCAAGGATATTATTCTTTCTCTATTTTCAGATAGAGGGGGAGGAATGGAGGGAGAGAAAGAGAAAGAGAAAGATTGATGTGAGAGAGACACATTGACTGGTTGCCTCCCACATGACCCCGACCAGGGCCAGGGACGAACCACAACCGAGGTACATGCCCTTGGCTGGCATTGAACCCACAACTCATTGGTCCATGGGCCAGTGCTCTACTGCTGAGCCAAACCAGCCAGAGTGAACATTGATGTCTTAAGCTGCTTTGATAGTCTGGGGAGGGGCCACATTGTGTTGCACTCTAGCATTGGACAACCAGAAATTCTAAGGACTGGCTTTGGTTCGTAGGTTGTTTAGTGATCGTGATCAAGGTTATCTTCATTGGGATTTAATATTCTCATTTAGTAAATGGAAAAATTCTAATTACATTTTTATTTGTAGAGAGCAAGAAGAAAAACAAAAGTTAGCAGAAAATGCTGAAATGGTAAGTATGTATTACTGATATATAAGAATTAAAAGTTATGAGAATAAAAGGTCTGAGGACTTTTTACAAAAAATAGGTAAGCAACTCTATAGTTGTTATTACACTAAAGTAATAGCCAAATACAATTGGCTAAAGTTATTATTTAACCAGAGATAATTTATTTTATTTTTTGTTAATCGTCACCTGAGGATCTTTTTCCATTGATTGATTTTTAGAGAGTGGAAGGGAGAGATAGAAGAAACATCGAGGGAGACACCTTAACTGGTTGCCTCCTGCATGATTTCAGCAGGGGCCAGGGATCAAACCTGCAACCCAGGTATATGCCCTTGACCAGAATCGAACCCATGACCCTTTGGTCCACAGGCTGACGCTCTATAATTGCTGAGCCAAACCATCCAGGGCATATCCAGAGATAATTTAATAACCAGATTTATATAACTAATTAAATACTACTTGTTGGAGAAATAAATGAAATCAGAAGCCATTGTAGAACAAAGGATGAAATGTACCAACTATTAAACTACTTTAAAATAGCATTTTAGTTTCTAGCCTTTACCTTGTATAGGTATAGAGTGATGAAAGCCATTTTTGATTTGTGGTTTCTTTTACGATACTTTTATTGCATTGTATATTTTTATAGAAATCTCTAGAAGAAAAGATTGGCTGCTTGTTGAAATTTTCGGGGGACCTAGATGATCAGACCTGTAGAGAAGATTTGCACATCCTTTTCTCAAACCATGGTGAAATAAAATGGATAGACTTTGTCAGAGGAGCAAAAGAGGTTTGAAAACATTCATGTGCTTTTTGCCATTGTTTAAAAACCCATAGAAAATTATTTTTTAGATGAAATAATTCATAATTTTTTATTACTTGTCCGTTTTGTTATTGCTATAACTCCATGTGATATCTGATGTTATGTTATGCTGTGAATAATTGTTGGATCAGTGACTCAAGTTTTGTAGTAACTTCCCTCCTGATGTTCACTAATATTCATCGAAACTGGTAATGGCATGGGAGGTTTCGCAGGCTAGGAAAAATTACTTTGAAGGTATTAACTGTGAGACCAAAAACTTAAGAATGTGGCTTTTTGTCTTTGGTGTAGGGAATAATTCTATTTAAAGAAAAAGCTAAGGAAGCACTGGATAAAGCCAAAGATGCAAGTAATGGTAACCTACAATTAAGGAACAGAGAAGTGACATGGGAAGTACTAGATGGAGATGTAGAAAAAGAAGCATTGAAAAAAATCATAGAAGATCAACAAGAATCCCTAAACAAATGGAAGTCAAAAGGTCATCAGTTCTGATATTTTTCTGACAATTTGGTTATTTAAACTCATTTGCTTGAGTAAAAATTGTAATAGGTGTTCAGAGACAAGAGACTTAAAAAAATTTCTTTACTGACTTCTCAATTGTCTCTGCAGGTCGCAGATTTAAAGGAAAAGGAAAGGGAAATAAAGCTGCCCAGACTGGGTCTGCAAAAGGAAAAGTACAGTTCCAGGGCAAGAAAACTAAATTTGATAGTGATGATGAACGTGATGAAAATGGTGCATCTGGTAAGTTTTTCTAAGTCCTTTGGTACTTTCATGAGAAATTGTTTATTTGTGGGAGAGAACAGTGATGTGGTTTTTCAGTTTCTGGATGAGTGATATTCTTGGATTGTGATTTACCCTGGTTATGCTGTTTTTACTAGTGGATAACAAAGATGTTTGGAAGATAAATTTAGAGAGCAGAAGGTCCATACTAAAGGAAAAGCCTTTTCTCACTGGTAATTCTGCTCAATACTAGCATAGAGTAATCCTTACAGTGAACTTAACAAAAATTAATTCTGTTATTGTATAGGACCAGTAAAAAGAGCAAGAGAAGAAACAGACAAAGAAGAACCTGCATCAAAACAGCAGAAAACAGAAAATGGTGCCGGAGACCAGTAGTTTAATAAACAAGTTTTTTATTCATTTTAATTAGGTTTTCAGCTGCTTTTGTCTTTGGAGGCTTTTAAAAAGAAAACCGAATTAGGTCCACTTCAATGTCCACCTGTAAGAAAGGAAAATTTTTTTATTGTTTAGCTTGTGTTTTTTTGTTATCCAAATGAGGATTTTTTTTTTATGTACAGTTGTATGTTATTTCAAATGATTCAAATAGCAAAAGAAAGATTCTTGTACTAAATTGCCTTTGTAATATGAGAATGTATTAGTACAAAATAATAAAATGTATACTATATAAAAAGAGCAAAAATTTAGTTTATTTTTTCTTTTTCTGCCCAAAGTATTTGAGAAAGAACTTATATCTACAGTACTGGCTGTTGATTGTAGGCTGTTCCATAATATGTCTCCCAGGCTGGCTTTCTGTATTTACTCAGGCAACTTGATAACATTAGAAATAATTACTTATTGTAAAGTTCAAGAGACTTACTGATTTCTTTTTGTGAAACTTGTATGATGCTGGCAGGTCATATCTCAGCTCTATAAAACAAACAAAACAGAAAAGCTCCCTAAGGATAAAAATTTTATTTCCAAGCATTTACTACCCTTGAATTAAAATACCCCATGAATTAAGAAAGCACCAAATGCTGGTAAACTGAAGGTTTTAGACCTGTCACTTTTAAGTAGGTATCTTAGGACTGCTGTGATATATCTGCAAGATACTAGCCATGGCAAATTGAGTTTGGTACTTCTGCTGTTTTGGTCCTTTAAACCAAAATCTGAGGTTATGGGGAAGAATTTAGAAGGGTAAGTGGACAGAAAGGATATGCTATGAAAATGATAGAACCTTCCTATTTTTAATTTCTTAATTGATAGCTAGCAATCTCATACTGCTTATTTTAAAATTTTGTCTGGATTTTAGTAATGGTAGTAATGAAAGCCCCTCTTTTTTTTTTTTTCATTTTCTTTCTTTCTAAAGAATAATACAGGTTCTCCAAACTTAGTACTGATACATTTTAGAGGGATGGCAATGAGTCTACCTATCCCTTCATATTTTACAACAAATTCTAACTCTAGGTCACAACTTTCAAATTTTAATGTGCAATCAAATCACCTTCAAATCAAATGTTGAGATGCAAGTTATAATTCAGTAGTAGGTCTGGGTGAAGTCTAACAAGCTGCCAAGGACTGTCAATGTTGATGATCTAAAGACTACATTTGGAGTAGCAGGGCTCTGGTATACTACTGGAATTGTTCTAAGGGTGCTTCATGTTGCATATTCTAAAACCTTAAACTACGTAAGGAATGACAGTACTGAATATAATAAGACTGACCTTTTACACATTAATTATTAACAACAGTAATAGACGTAGTTATATGGTTAACACCACAGTGCTAGTTTATAGTTTATTATCGTGTAAAAAACATTTCCCCCTTATTGTACTCTTATTTCAGGCTTTTCAAAATTATTTGGATTACAGTTAGCTTCTATTTGTATGCTTTCCCCATTTTGATGTTTGTGAATATCCAATTTACTAATAAAAATGTATCAAGCATGATTTACTCAGTGTGGATGGTTATATTCTATCCCCCACTAAAAAGCAAAACAAGAAAAGCTTCGTATTATTTGACTTCAAGAGAAATTAGAAAAGTGAAATAGAAAAGTGATCCAGGCATAATCCAGTGGTATTTTTTGTGAATGGATTTCAAACTGAAGTTTGATCAACTTCAAACCCAAGTTTTGTAGTCACTGAAGCTATATAGGATTCTGTCTTAGCCTGGAGTGACCAAATATTTGAGTACTATTAACTTCAGTAAAATGCATATATAAATTGGGACAGTCACCCAAACATTGACACCCCGCCTTTACTCCATTTGCTACCTATTACCAACTACGTCCATTTTGTCACACTAAACATGATTTATAGTATCTTCTCAGCACCTGTATAAAAATTCTGATTTGGCTGATGCATTTTGGCTTTCTTAGATAATTAGAGTTGATATTTGTTTTATGAGAAACTTAGAAATTCTTACCTGCAATGATGTCTGCCTTGATTTTCCATTCTGCAGCTTTCTTTTGAATATGCTGAACAACAACATGTTAATGTGAACTGATTTAAAAAAAATTTTATGTTGCTTTTTACCAGTACTTGGTATTAAGTTTTCAAGCTTCTAAAACTTCATTAGAATTTATACCCTTAAATTTATTTCAACTGAATGTATCATATTTAGAAAATAAAGGAACCAAGCCATTTCAATATATTTAACCATCTGAGCCAAATTACATAAATAAAATCCAAGGCATAAAGCTATTATTTCAGAAACACATCAAAGTGCATAATGTACTCATAGTTTCTGCTGCATTATTTCATCAATATATGTAACTACCCTGGAAACCATTCAACAGTGATCTATATACATGGGCAGTGACAGTATGGTACAGTAGTTAACATGGTCTCTGGAACCAGACTGCCTGCATTTGAACCGCTCTGCTACTTACTGGCTTTGTAACCCTGAGCTACTCATTCTTTTTGTGCCTCAGTTTCTTCATCTGTTAAATGAGGATAGTAGTATCTCTCATCAGATTGTTGTGGAATATGAAAAAGTGCTTTGAACTGTCCAGGCACACAGTAAGTACTAAATGTTAATTACTTATAGGTCTAAAATTCTTAAACCACTTCATAAAATTTTTGGTTAATTTGTCATAATTGCTTTATGAATTAAAAATAATATATACAACACTTCAACATTAATATAAATGGGAAAATGTTGCCCTGGCCAGTTTTGTTCAGCAGTTAGAGCGTCGGCCTGTGGTCCAGAGAAACCCGGGTTTGGTTCCCACTAAGGGCACATACCTTGGTTCCGGCCCAAGGTTGGGTTGTGTGGGTGGCAGCCACTCGATGTGTCCCTTTCACATCGATGTTTCTCTCTCTCTCTTCCTCTTTCTCCCTCCCATTCTATCTGAACAAAAAATGGAAAAATGTCCTCAAGTGAGGATAAAAAATAAAATAAATGGAAAAATTTTGCCCATAATCCCCTAAATAAATTATGTGCATAGTTTTCTAGAAATAATAGAAATCTAGAGATATTAATATTTGGTATAAGCATTTTGTTCATGTTGGTAGTGTTCATAATACTTCATTGGCATCAAGCTGCTTGATAAACTACTTAACTTTCCCTAAATTTTAGGTTCAGATATTTCCATTATAAACAATGCTGACAATATGTTCATGCTTATAGTTTTTTTACTGAATATAATAAATCGCAGTTTGGGCATATTTTCCCATTTTAAGATCTAGAATTTCTGTATAATACAGAAATGCAAATAATATTGTAGTTCTTTGCAATTACAAATAATATTGTAATTTAATGGACCCTTAGGGTCTTTGATAAATTTGTAAGAAATATATTCTGATGACATTTCTTTGCTAGCTGAGCCCTAAGGTAAGTGAACATTTTTAGATATTAGAGTATACAATGGCCCCCGCCTGGTAGCTCAGTTGGCTAGAGCGTTGTCCAGATATACAAACGTTGTGGGTTTGATCATTGGTCAGGGCACACACAAGAAGCAACCAATGAATGCATAAATAAGTGGAACAACAAATCGATGCCTGCCTGTCTGTCTCTCTCTCTCTAAAGATATTATACAATGGAATGTGCTTGGTGCTGGCAGAGACTTCATATGAATCAATCAGGTAAGTCTGGGATAAACACTGAAAGAACAGTGCCTGGCTTATGTACTTTGCTTTAGATATGAGCCAAGAACTAAATTCTCACATTGCCTAATGAAGAAAGATATGGCAACAGCTTTGAGAATCACACAGTTTATTAGCATATCTGCCAGGATACTTATATTGCATTTATTTCTATAAAAAACTTATACAATGTCCTTATACTACAAGAGTACAGGTGAGTACAGTATTGGTGATGAAAATGAATTCAAGTACCTTGACCAAGATAACAGCTGGGAAGCAGCAGAATTTGGATCTGAACCTAGGTAGTCTAACTCTATCGTCTGTGTTCTTGATCACTATGTTATTTTGACACCAAAAAAATGTACCCCCTCACCCCCAATTTTCTGGAACACATCTTATATACCCCCATGTGTTACATTCTGGCAAGAAGAATGATGGAAGAAGTGGGTTATGAACTCAGATCAGTTTAGCTCCAGGCTCAGGGGTCTTGAAAATCCAGCCTTACTACCCTACTTGTGTTCACCAGGCCACACAGGGCCACTGGGACTAAGGCATCAATCAGGATTTACCCAGGCAAATAGGATGTATTTTAACCCTAGCTATACTATACTTCTCTACTCCTGAATTAGAGTCTTTTTCCTGGTAACAGTGCCTGCCTGAACAAATCTGCCTGATTTTAAAAATAAGTGGCACAATATCATGATGATTTGAACTTACTTCTCTAGTTGAGGATTTGTGTAAAGAATATACTGCTGTTCTTGCCATTTCCAAAGCAGTCTTCAGAAATGCCATATCTGTCCCTGTTAAGAGTAAAAAAGCTCTAATTTACATTATATACCTGTTACCAAAATAGAAGATTCAATGAATACCAATTAAAAATAAATACCAAATTAGCCACTTCAGATTCTTTCTGCAAAAAGACAGGGTAAAACATCTAAATATAAAGTTGCCAGAATAAAACCAGAATTATACTGTCTTATTTGAATAGGATAAAGTAAAAATGTAAGTATCATTCCAAATAAATGACTTTCAAAGAGGATAGAGTAGTAAACAGAATCAGGTGGTGGAGGGGGTGCAAGGAGGTGTTTTTAAACTATGCATGTTGCTGGCTGGTGTGGTTCAATGGATTGAGCATCGTCCCATGAACTGAGGGGTCCCAGTTTGATTCCTGGTCAGGGCACATGCCTGGGTTGTTTGTGGGCTCTATCCCCAGTAAAGGGCGTGCAGGAGGCAGCTGATGGATGTTTCTCTCTCACATCGATGTTTCCATCTCTCCCTTCCTCTCTCTAAAAAATCAATAAAAACATATTTAAAAAATAAAGTATGAATGTCTTTTACTCTTTTTACTGACTTCCTATTCTTCTTGCACACAGCATACACAAAATAAAAAACCACAGTGAGTCACTGTTACTGATGGACACATGATGAAACCCTCAGGTGTGTTAAGGCATTAAAAAGAGGTTCTAAATGTATAAAATTCTTTATAGTATTCATAATCATTCATAAGGGTTAGGCAAATCATTCTTGAAACCAGGTAGAGTATAAATAAATGAATTAAAGTTTTATCACTTAGTATAAATTTGTGAAAACAAAATTTGAAAAATTCAATTCCCTATCCATGCAATAAACAAATTGAAATTGTAATAACTATACAGATAAGAGATTGGTTTATTTAATGAAGAGTGATAAAATCACTTAATCCAAACAATCAAGGAGCAAGTTTTTTTTTTTTTAATATCTTTTTATTGATTTTTTAGAGTGGGAGAAACATCGATGTGAGAGAAAAACATCAATCAGCTGCCTCCTGAATGCTCCCCATTGGAGATCAAGCCCGAAACTGGGGCATGTGCCCTGACTGGGAATCAGATTGGGACCTTTCAGTCCATGGGACTGATGCTCAACCCACTGAGCAATACCAGCTGGACAAAGAGCAAGTGGTTTTTAAAACCAATAGACCTGATTCTTGTTACTAACCTTTATTATTTTTGGTCCCAAAGGGAGGATTCATAATTACTGTATCAAATGACTTGGACATTGTGTTAGATAATGAGTACACATCACACTGAACCATGTCAACATTTGTTAACTCGAACTCTTCCACATTCCTATTAAATATTTCCAATGCATCTTCGTCTATGTCAAATCCAACACACAGCCTAAAAATACAAAACACAAAAAGTGAGTACTTAGAGCTTCCAAGTCAAAACAATAATACAATAAAAACCATAACCTTGCCGGGCCAGTGTGCTTCAGTGGATTGAGCATTGTCCCATGGACTGAGAGATCCAGGTTCAATTCCTGGTCAGGGCACATGCCAGGGTTGCGGGCTCTCAGGCTCAATCCCCAGTGGGGGCATACAGGAGGCAGCTGATTAATGTTTCTCTCTCACATCAATGTTTCTATCTCTTCCTCTCTCTAAAAAATCAGTAAAAACATATCTTTTAAAAAGTAACTTTAAAAATAAATTTTAAAAAACCATAACCTTTTTAACCCAACTGGCAAAGAAAGAGTGAGCGTTACCTTTCAAAAGCATTATTTCCCAACCTGGCAGGGATTAGAAACTCAGGTTTGTACACAAGGGAGGCATTTGCCTGTTGGCTGTTACTGTTTTGTTTTTTTTCCTGGTTAATCCTTACCTGAGGATATTTTCTCATTGATTTTTAGAAAGCAGGGAAGGGAGGGAAGAAGAGGAAGAGAGAGAGAGAGAGACATCCATGTGAGAGATTTCACATTGATTGTTTGCCTCTGGCAAGATCCGCAGGATTGAACCTGCAACTCCAGGTAAGTACGCTTCAGTCTGCAGGTTGATGCTCTAACCACTTAACAAAGCCAGTCACGTCTGTTTTGTTCTTTAATTTGTTTTGCTCATTCAAAATCTACTCATTATCGGATTCTTGATCCCCTCATCTCATACTACAGAGTCCCATAAATATAATCAGTTGATCCTATTTGTGCTTATTAAAGCCACCACATACCACATAGTATATACTGTTATCACCTACCCTGCTCCTAAAATTGCAGTTCCGATGCTAAGTACTCCACAGCCACATCCTAGATCTGCAACAACTTTATTTTCAATGTCATCATAAGTATTATGAATTGTATAGAGCATACATGCTAAAAGATAAAGAAACACATTTGAGAATAAGTAAGTTGATGACCAAAATCCAATTTGTGAAAATGACTTTAAAACGATTTGTCTTTCATTATCTACTCCTCCCCCAGATGGCATTACAAATTAAAAAACAAAAACAAAAACAAAAAAACAAGGCATAATAAATTGGTATGTAACACAAGGCCTCACAAAAAACAGTGAAACACATACCAGTGGTTCCCCAAAACTAGACTCTGCTGACAATGCCAAGAATGACAAAACTTTGAGGTAAAATGAGAAAAATAAGATCAAAATGTTTTATTTTTCCTCAGCCTATTCAAACCATTGCCATACACACATACTACGTCAGTTTTCTTTGATGTTGAAATATTTTTATGAAAGGATAGTAAGAGTAAATTGATTTAAAAAAATATCTTTCCTTTATAAACTTGGCAATCCTGTGTCAGTGTCCAAAATTATTTTGAAATATTACTGATTTGTGAAATCTGTAAGTCTGGGATCCACAGCATTCACATTAAAATAGCACAGAACTTTTTTGCAACAAATCTGTCACCAGGTACCATACACTTAGTCTAGAATGGGAAAGGAAAAGACTTACAACCACAATATAACTTTTAAGCTCACATATTCAGACACATATGTTTCTGATCTAGAGATACATATATTCATAATCTACCAATAAGACCTGACAGAACTACTGAGGAGTAGAGCAGAAGCTGCTGAGATTGGAAAGGGATATTTCAAATACACAAAGGTCTGGTATACACTGAAGGTTACTCGTGTGCAATACCACTGATATCTCCCTATGGATATCTGAACCCTGCAAGGATTACTGGCCATCACTGATGCCCCAGGATCCAGAGGTTTTATAAAAACCACACATATAGGACATCTCAGGCTGACTGCACTGTCCTGATTATTGCTGCAGGTGTTGGTGACTCTGAAGCTGGTAAAGAATTAACACATCTATGTGCATGTTACACACTGGGTGGGAAACGGGTCTTTTAAAAAATGGGATTCCAGTTAGAAACCCTATAATCAGAAGATATTAAAGAAGTCATTATCTAAATTGAGTAAACTGGTCTTAACCCAGACACAGTTTTGTGTCAATTTTTGTTTGAAATTATAACAGTATGTTGGAGTTAAGTGCAGGTACGCATACATTTTTCTTGACTTTCATTGGCAGCTATGTTGGAGTTGGATGAGTTTCCTCCTTGCTGGTGTTGCCGACAAATTAATTTTCCTAAGACTCCCCAATGGCCTTAGTAATATGTTTATTAAACATGAATGGGTTTTCCTGTATTCTCTCCTGTATTACTGGTATCGATCTCTCACATCAAGCAACACTGCTGATTCTCAGATCATTTTTTCAATTGAAATGCATCCTCATATTTATATAGCACCTATTCTGGATTTGTTAAACTCAGTCCTTCAGCTAGCAACTCTAGTATTCATTTCTAGGGCAGATTATAGCATAGAAATCTCTGTGCTGACACTTCGTTGCAATAGGAAATTGATCCTTATTTAGCAAATATTTACTGAGCTTCTAACTAGTACTAGAAACTCTTCAGGTACTGGGAATTGTCTGAACAAGACCAACAAATTCTTTGCCCTCAAGGAATTTATGAGAAAACATTAAAAGGTGTCTGACAGTTTTAAGGGGTATGCAAAAAACAAACAGTAAAATGACAATGTGTGTATCTGTGCACGGGAAGTCTTTAGGTGCGGTGTCCAGGAAGTCCTCTCTACCGTGATATGTAATCTCTCAGCAGATTTTCTCTGGGCGTTCTTTGTATCTAAATAACTGTACTCATTTCATTACGAGAGCGTAGACAGGGCTAACCAACCTGCGAAGCAAAGGCGTGGTCACCAGCAGCCCTACCTGCAATGTGCGGCCTGGTGGGATACTGTTCTAGAAGTAGTTTGGGCTTTTCGAATCCATCCACTTGTTGCAGGCGACTCTCTAGTTCCTTAAGCCTTAATTTCTTCATTTTTTTTTTTTTTTTTTTAAGTGCAGATTCTCAGAGTTTAACAGCACTGGATCTGTAGAGAAATGTATTTAACCTGCACTTCCCATACCCCAACCCCCCGCCATGTTTCAGCGCCGCTGGCCACGGGGCCGGGCAGGGGACCGAGGACGCGAAGGACACACCGGCCCAGGCCGTTTCCGCGCTCCTCCTGGCGCTCGCGGCGGGTGGAGTCCACGCCTGCCTTTGACCCGGGCCTCCAGGGAATCCCGCGCGGATCTTGGGATTCTCGGAATCAGCGGCGGCTCCAGCCTGGGTTTCATGCACCGCGCGGGGGCATTTTAAGAGGCTGCTAGCGCCACGGCCGGTACCGGAAGCGCCGCTAACAACGCGCTCCCGGTGGTCCCTTGCCGAGCTGCAACCGCGGCCCGGCTCACCAGTTCCGCTGCCGACTCGAGGTCCTCATCCACCTCCAGGCCGGGCCGCACCACCGACAGAGCCCGCCCTTCTCGCAGCCGTGCGGCCGGCCCCGCCGCCTGTTACATAGCCGTTACTCTCCAGCTTTTGTTGAGTACCAGCAGACCCTCAAATGATAGGGGAACAGAGGGTGAAAATGATGGGGAAAGGGGGGGAAAGTCAGGGTCACTTTTTTTAATGCCCAGTGTGGCCCTTTCTGCCTTCTATCTTTCAACTCCCCTCTCAATAAGTAGCCATCTCCTACCTTTGCCTCCTTGGCCATTAGCATTTCCTACTTTATTATAACTTTGTTTCCCGCTTTTTAGGTCACCTGTGTCATTTGCCTCAACTCTTACAGGGTAGTGATGTCAGAGAAGCCCAAAGAAGAGAGTTTAAATGAAGGAATGGATAGTAGTGTCAAATGCTGGAAAGAGGCCAGGCTTTCATAGCGTAGGAGCAAGTTGTAGTGGATTTTGAAGTGAATGGAAGTTTAGAAAGTAGAAAGTAAATATAAACAATTCTTAAGAAATATGGCTACGAAAAGAGCAGTGAGAATGGTTGATGTATTTGTAAGGTTGGGGGAAGCTTTTGGACAGGTTAAAACTAATAGAAAGGCAGGAATTCAAAATACAACCAAGAGGACATTGGATGGAGTTGGGATCCGGAGAAGAGAAGTAGGATATGTGCTTAACTGAAAGGATTGCCTTTAATCTGAGAAATGGATCCTTCTTTCTATTATTAAAGAATGGGGGAAAAAAAGGAGTGGATGGATGAGGATGAAGTAGAGGAAGTGGTGTCCGAGGCTGCTGTTTCCTGTGAAAAGTAGAATTCAGTTATCTTTTGTGAAGATTAAATAAGTTAATACATATGAAATTCTTTGTCACATAAAAAATGCCCAATACATGTTAGTTGTTGCTGGTGGTATTAGTTGAGAGGGAGGTAGCTGGAGTAAGTAGAGTTTGAACCAAATAGATTGAAAGTAGCCAGACATATGGAAAGAAAATTGACTGGTCTGTGGTTGAAGACATTGTTTTTTTCTTTTCTTTTAAAAAATTTTTTTTTCCCCTTTATTGATTTTAGAGAGAGAGGAGGTGAGAGGGAGAGAGAGATGGAAACATCTATAAGAGAGAACATCGACTGGCTGCCTCCTGCATGCCCCACACTGGGGACCTGGCCCACAATCTGGGCATGTGTCCTGAACGGAAATCGAACTGGGGACCTCTTGGTGCATGGGTCGATGCTCAACCATTGAGCCACACTGGCCGGACTGTTTTTTTTCATTTAAAAAAATATATTTTTATTGATTTTTAGAGGGAGAGGAAAGGAGAGGGAAAATGAGATAGAAACATCGATGTGAGAGAAAACCATGGATTGGCTGCTTCCTGCATGCCCCCTACTGGGTACTGAGTCTGCATGTGCACTGATTGGGAATTGAACTGGCAACCTCTTGGTGCATGAGTCAACGCTCAACCACTGAGCCACACCAGTTGGGCAAAGACATTGTTTTTCTATTAAAATTTTTATTTAAAAATTTTATTTTGAGATCATTGTAAATTCATATGCAATCATAAAAAATAGCACATAGAGATCCCATGTGGTTTTTACTCAGTTTTCCCCAGTAATGCTTTGCAAAACTATAGTAGAGTATCACAACCAGGATATTGACAGATACAGTCAACACATAGCATTTCCATCACCACAAAGATCCTTTGTGTTGTACCATTTTAAATTCCCATAAACAATGTATGAGGGCTCCAAGTTCTCCATATCTTCACCAATACTTGTTATCTTCGATTTTAAAAATTATAGCCATCCTAGCAGGTATGAAGTAGCAATTCATTGTAGTTTTGATTCATATTTCCCTGATGGCTAGTGATGTTGAACATTTTAAAATATGTTTGTAGACCATTTCTATAGCTTCTTTGGATAACTAACAATCCAAATTCTTTGGTTATTTTAAAATTGTGTTATTCATGTTTTTATTGTTAAGTTGTAAGAGTTCTTGGTAATTCTGGATACTTGATCCTTATCAGATATATGGTTTGCAAATATTTTCTCCCATTCTCTGGGTTGTCTTTTTACTTTCTTGGTAGTATCTCTTAGCATACAAAGGTTTTTAATTTTTGGTGATGTCCAAATCTGTATTTTAGGTGTTATATCTAAGAACCTGTTGCCTATTCAAAGTCATGAAAATTTACACTTATGTGTTCTTGTAAGAGTTTTATAGTTCCAGTTTTTTTTGTTTTTTTGTTTTTTTTGTTTTTGTTTTTTTTAGAGAGAGAGGAAAGGAGAGGGAGAGAGAGATAGAAACATTGATGAGAGAGAACATCTACTGGCCACCTCTTGCATACCCCACACTGGGGATAGGGCTCACAACCTGGGCATATGCCCTGACCAGGAATCGAATGAGCGACTTCTGGGTGCATGGGTCGATGCTCAACCACTGAGCCACACTGGCCGGGCTACACTTCAAGTTCTTACGCTTAGGTCTTTTATCAATCTTGAGTAAATTTTTATATGTGGTATGAGGTAGCAGTACACATTTATTATTTTGCGTGTGTATATCCAGTTGTCTTAACACTATTGAAAATACTATGCTTTCTCCCACTGAATGGCCTTGACATCCTTGTAGTAATCAATTGGACATAGATGTATGAGTTTATTTCTGGTCTCCCAATTTTATTTCATGATCTATATGTCTCTCCCTATGCTAGTACCATACTGTCTTGATTGTTATAGCTTTGTAGTGGGTTTTTAAGTGGGAGGTATGATTCTTTCAACTTTATTCTTCTTTTTGAAGGTTGTTTTAACTCTCAGGGTCACTTGCATTTTCATATGAATTTTAGGATCAACTGGTAAATTTCTGCAAAATAAGCAGTTGGAATTTTCATGGCGATTGCAATGAATCTGTAATCAACTTGGGAGTATTGTTATCTTAATAATATTAAGTTTTCCAGTCTATGAACATGGGATACCTTTTAATTTATTTAGGTTTTCTTTAAATTTTTTCAACAGTGTTTTATAGTTTTTAGTGTACAAGTTTTACACTTCTTGAATTTAATTTATTACTAAGTACTTTATTCTTTTTGATGCTATTGTAAGTTGAATTGTTTTCTTAATTTTGTTTTTGGATTGTTCATTGCTAGTGAAAAGAATTACAATTGATTTTTGTTATTGATCTTGTATCCTGTAATTTTTCTTAATTTATTAACTCTAGTTGTGTGTGTGTGTGTATTTCTTAGTATTTTCTATATACAATGTTATGTCATTTGCAAATAGAAATGTTTACTTCTTTCTTTTAAATCTGGGTATCTTTTTTTCTTCTTGCCTAATTGTTCTGGGTAGAACCTCTAATACAATATTGAATAACAGTAGTGAAAATAGGCATCCTTGTCTTATTTCTTATCTTTGAAGGATAGCCTTCAATCTTTCACTGTTAAGCATGGTGTTAGCTGTGGGTTTTTAATAGGTGCCTTTTTATTAGGTTGAGGACATTTCTTCAAAAGCAATAATTCTAATGCATCATTCTTCAAAGTTGATTTTTTTTCTCCTGAAATATTGAGGCAGGAGCAAGGAATGCCTGACAGTTGAATAGATTCATATAGTAGTTTTGACACCGGTATACAACAGAAGCATGAGAGATAAGAGTATAGGTGGTATTGGCAAGATAATGGTTGTAGTGATTGACCAGGAAGTCTTTGGCTAGATGGAGAAAGAAGTGAAAATGAAGGGGATGAGATTGAGGGGAACAATAGTAGAGAGATGAAGACCTGATGATGTTACTTGATGATGTTTAATGGAAGAAAGGGAGTGAGAGATCTAGAACATTAGATGTTCACTGAGTTCAGTTCAAATGATGGACTATTGAGGTTTAAGATTGGTATAAAGTACATGGGATGAGAGGTAGGAGCAGTGATTGACTGCAAACAGCACAAGGGATCTGTTTAAAGGTGATGGAAATGTTCTAAAACTGGATATTGGTGATGTTTGCACATCTTTTAAAATTGCTTAAACTTCTTTGTGTGTTTAAAAAAGTTAGTCACTAAAATGTTGTAAAAGAGGGTAAAAAACAATAGAATATGGATCATTTCTAAGAGACGACGAGACGGAGGGTGAGGCCGCGAGAGTGGTTGGCTGCAGTGAAGCAGAGGGAGGAGAAGATCAGTGTCTGGTGGACTATCCATATGGACACTGAAATCTCCATAATAGTGGTAAGAACTCAAGATGGAGGGGAAAGCTGCTTCTATTGCCAACTCTTTAAAAAAAAATGTAGATTTGATTATATAGAACATTGATAAAGAGGGTTAAAGAGTGATTTCAATGGATTCCACATCACCAGGAGAACGGTTTGCTTACATTTCAGTTGATGGATTAGTAAAAATTGCTATGAGTTTTATGTACTAGACATTGTCCTAATGGTAAGTGGGAGCTATGTAAGATTTGTAATTCCTTCCAGCAGAAAATTTACAATTTAGGTGGGGAAACCAAAGATAAACATTTGAAAAGTTTAGTAAAAACCACTAGCATCTATTAGCATGGCTAAAATAAAATAGGAGCCCTGGCCGGTTCGGCTCAGCGGTTAGAGCGTCGGCCTGCGGTCCAGAGAGACCCGGGTTCGGTTCCCGCTAAGGGCATGTACTTCGGTTACAGTTTGTCCCCGGCCCTGGTTGGGTCATGCGGGTGGCAGCCACTCAATGTGTCCCTTTCACGTCGATGTTTCTCTCTCTTCCTTTCTCTCTCTCCTGCTCTGTCTGAACAAAATATGGAAAAATGTCCTGGGGTGAGGATATAAAAAAAAAAAAAAGAGAGAGAGATTAATGACTGCCCTAATCTCTGTAAAAAATAAAATAAAATAAAATAAAATAAAATAAAATAAAATAAAATAAAATAAAATAAAATAGGAAAAA